CCCCCCCCCTTCTACAAACTGTTTAGTATTCTTGTAGACCCTTTGGGACCAACAGTTGGAACTCGAAGAGATACCCTCAGGGTGGAGATCAATAATTTCAACACTATTGTCACCTTGGTAAACATCCAAAGATTGGACACCAGACTCAATATTATCCCTGGCAGCCACCTCTGAGCTACTCAGTTGTTGCAAGCTGGCAACTCCTTGAGAGTTAAGCAAGGGAATTGTGCTACCTAGCTATTGTCTACTGGAAGCTCTATATGGGTTACTACCAAGAGAAGATGGTTGGTTAACTTCCTCCTGAGAAGGTTGATCTCGAACCTCATCATTGGGAGGTAAACCAATAAGATTAGTAGGTGAACCAAAGGGAGAATCAAAGAAATTAAGAGTATTTACTTTACTAGTGGTAAGGTAATTCAACTTGTTTGAACTCATTTTAAAAGGAAAAATGGTCTCATAAAACTTAACATCACGAGAAACAACTATCTTATTCGTATCAAGACTAAATAACTTGTATCCTTTTTGGGAATTAGCATACCCTAACAGAACACATTTTTCAGCTTTAGATGAAAACTTACCAGTGACATTGGTTTTAGTTGCAAAACAAAGACAACCAAAAGTTCTTAAATGAGTTAGAACAGATTGAAATCCATACACTAGTTCATAAGGACACTTTCCTGCTAAGACAGAGGAAGTGCCAGTTAGAATGCACTCACTCCACATGTTTAACGGTATACCACCCTGAAACATGAGAGCTCTAGCCACATTTAGTAAATGACGATGTTTGCATTCCACTATCCCATTCTGTTGAGGAGTGTGTAGATGTTTGATGAACAATACCTTTAGTTTTAAAAAACTCACCTAATGCCAAATTAGTAAATTCAGTCCCATTATCACTTCTAAACACCTTAACAGGTTTGCCAAATTGAGTTCCTAGCAGGTTATAAAATAACACAACATTATTCATAACTTCATGCTTGCCTTTCAACAAATAAACCCAAACAACATGGGTATGATAATCCACAACAATTAAAAAAAAATACTTAAAACCTTCCATACTGGTCACACGATATGGACCCCAAACATCTAAATGAACAAGTTCACCAAGACATTTGGATTTATGATCACTCAAGGAAAACCTTTCTCTAGTTTTTTTTTGCCATGTGACAGATTTCACATGGACTTATCTTGTCATTAAGTTTAAGTTATTCTTTTAAAACAAGAACTTGGTCAAGGGGATGACCAATACGGCTGTGTCATAACTGACTAGAAACAAAGTTCGGAACAACATAAGATGCTGAGACAGAAGGTAACTTACTCTTATTATTTTGATCAAAAAAATATGAACCGTCTTCTTGACTACCAATCCCCACTACATTCTTTTGATGAAAATCCTGAATATAACATCGAAACTCATCAAATCCCACAAACACCTTGTTATATCTAGCAAGTTTGTGAACAAACAAAAGATTGACATTAAAGTCTGGAACCACCAAGACATCAAATAAAGTAACATTGTTTGATAGTTTTAAGTTTCCAATTTTATTAATCTTTGCCTTAGTTCCATTAGGATGATTTACCTTTAAGTTTAAATCAGATATGTCAACAACATTGTACAAATTTGAAAAATTAGATGTCATATGTTGGTTGGCACCAGAATCAATAATCTATCCAGACTTATAAAATTGAGACAAACATGCCATATTAGCAGTAGTTAACTCCTGAGAGTTCTTTTGATCCAATAGGGCAAGAATTTTAGTAACTTGTTCTTCAGAAAATGGAGAGGTGGATGGAAGAGGAACTTTATCACTTCTATAGGAGTCTGTTATACAAGCATAACTAGACAGAGATTTAAAACCTTGAGCTGAGGGTCTAGGTGGTCTATTTTGAAAATCTTTTGGGAAGCCAATAAGTTTAAAACATCTTTCAATTGTGTGCCCAAAAACACCACAATGTTTACACAGTAAATTTGACACTTTGCATGTCCTTTTCTTATTCTCAATAACCTTGCTAAAGAAAGGCAGAGTTTTTCTTTTATTGCTAGAGGAGACACCATAACCCCCAAGATGGGACTCTTCCTAGAAATGAGAAAAAAAGCAATTTTAACAGAGGGAAGAAGGTTCCTTAAAAGAATGTTATTCCTAATAGGTTGATAAACACTATCAAGACCCATTAAAAACTGCATTAGTTTTATTAATTGAGAGTGCTTAAAAAAGTCATGAGAAGCATTACAAGTGCAAGTGGGAAGAGTGATAAGAGCATCAAATTGCTTCCATAAGGAGTTGAGCTTGTGATAATATTCAGAAACAGTGGACCTATTTTGATTCAAACAAGTGATTCTTTTGATAATGATTAAAACTGACAGAACCATCAACCTTATCATAGGTTTTTTTAGTTCCTCCCAAATCTTAGAGGAATCTTTTGAAAAAACTTGTCCCAAGAGTAGATCCTCAGTGACAGAACTTAGAATCCAACTTAGAACTACATAATTACATTTGTCCCATTGTTTTTGAAGAACATGATCATTGATTGGTCTAATGCAGGATCCATCAATACACCTAAGTTTGTTCTTGGTTTCAAGAGACAAGGTCATAGCACAATCCCATATTATATCGTTTTTCAGTTCCATTTAATTTGAGATTTAAAATAGGTGTTTCACTGGTGTCACTGGGATGCAAATACAGGGGATTCCCAAAGTCTAATTTAGCAATTCGGGATACAATGACATCACCCGAAACAACCATAAAGAAAAACAACAGACAACAACACAAGGGTGAACATGATAGCAAGAAACAGTATTCCTAAAACACTCGAGGTACTAGATTAAGCCAATTATCCAGTCACTCAAACATAAACAAAGAACAAGCAAAGAACAGACA